CTCTCCTCAGTGTCTCTGAGAGCGCAGTCTGGGAGCCCTGGGTGGCCTCACAGGTCACAGAGCCCACCTTCCTCCACTGATCTGCAGAGAACCTCAGGGTGCTGCTCCAGCTGTAGTGGGCGTCCTTCTCCAGCACCCCGGGGCTCCTGCTCTCCTCCCAGCTGCTGCTGCCGTCCACCTTCCAGGCCAGACTCCAGTCTGAGGGGAAGCCCTTGTTGGCCAGGCACATGAGCGTGGCCTTCCCCTGCTGCAGCTCTTCTGTGGAGGGGGCCAGCACCGTCAGGGTGGGACGGACATCACCTAGGAGACACCAATCAGATTAGAGGACAGGGAGCACACAGCTGTCAATCAACCAGCAGACACTGGGACACCTTTACTGTGAGAGCGCTTGTCCTTTAAGGAGTTTCTGTCAGATGTTGGTTCTGCTCCATCAGTCTCTCACTCACACATTGTTTCACTTCCCTTTAAGAAGCCTCTCATGCAAATCAGCACAGAGACACTTCCTACAGAGTCACCTGAAATATGTCAGACTACAATAGAAGTACAACATTAGGACATATTTTAAGTAGTAGTTATCAAAATCATCCAAAACCTGAACTCTACAAACATTATTAAATTATTTAGTGGATAAATGAACAAATACAGGAAACGGAGCAATCAGCTGTGCTTAATGTGAATCTCAATCACTACCCAGTTTTACAAACTTTAAAATAATGTCTGAAAGAATTCAACACTTTTTTTAATATCCATCGTTATCTTTACTCCGTTCATCTGTATTTAAAAACTGTATCTGTAATTTATTTGAGAACAGAGAGGAGAACCGAGATAGACGATTTCAAATAAATTAATGAAAAATGATAAATTTCATCATTTCACATTTGAAGCTGTTTAAATGACAGCATGTTGGGAATGTATAAAGACATTTCAAGAAAAGCTGCTCTGACTTGGTCTCAATGATGAAGAGAAATAAAGACATGAATACTAATACTATCTAAACATTACAATTAAAATAATATAAATCTATCTCTCAAACACTCTAACACAGAATTTAAAACGTCTCTTAACATCATATTTAGTTTTTGTGCAGAAACTTACTTCCAACATCCAGTCTGGTTCCTCCACCAAAAGTCCACCACAGTGATACAAAGTCATTGAGCCGCCGTACAAAAACCTCTCACTGTAGAGAGACACGGCTCTCTGACTTTGACTCACTGAACTAAACCTACCAGCCCTCGAGAAGCTACTTCACCATTAAAGGTGGAAATAATGAATTATTCTGTGTTCAATGTTCCATAAAAACAATTAAAGGTCTTTTGCTGGAGTAAAGTTAGCCTCTTAGTTCAGAATATTTGATAAGTATGTATACAATGACATGGAGAGGTAACTATTTCTCCGTACGCTGAATAATAAGTACAACAGAAGAGAAATTGCTCTTATGAATTAACATTTGACTTACTTCCAACATCCAGTCTGGTTCCTCCACCGAACGTGTACCACAGTGATACAAAGTCATTGAGCCGCCGTACAAAAACCTCTCACTGTAGAGAGACACGGCTCTCTGACTTTGACACAAACAAACTCACCAAACACATCCACAGTTTACCCACTTGATATAATTACTGCTTCAAATGTTTGAAACAGATTCACACACTATGGAAAAGTATCGACTGTTTCTCTATTGAACCTTTTAAACATTTAAAACAAATATCTACTTAGCTCTTCAGTTTTAATGAAGATTCTTCTTTTGAATACGAATTGTTCACAAAATATGTTTAGTTTCACGATTTTATCAACTTTTAAACATCAAAGTAATTGATTACTTAAATGAAACAATGAACGTCTAATAAAAGCTATTCATGTTACACTTCCGAATGTGCATCATTTCCATAAATACATGTTTGCTTTTCCATCAGGATCAATAATAAATCTCCATTTTGTTTTTCCTAGGTGGTATTGATTATTAGGAGTTATGAATTTGAGCTTTTAATAAAATGAACTACAAGAAAATGTGTCCATTGAACTTAAAGCCTCATACAAGTGAGCGCTGACCCATTCCTGATCAATCCTCTGACAGAGAGATGGATCCATTGATAAACAGCATCATCAGAGTAATCCAGGTCCCTGTTGGAGTCAGAGCATTTCCATAGAGAGACACTTTGCATCAGCAGCACCATGCTCCAGTGCTCTGGGACACTTTATAGTCCTGAGAGTTGAGCACTGGATGACTGACAGCTGTCCTTCATGACAACAGAAGACACAGAAATCCTCCTCATCAAGAACATGACTTTGATCTGCGTCCTCATCTGGACTCTCCTCTGCTGCTGCTTCACAGGTAAAGTCCAGAGAATCAAACTCCTCTCCTCTGTGAACATCCGTCCCTCTGAAATGAAGCGGACAAAACCATGACGCTGCTTTATATCTTTGTCTCTGTATCCTCAGAGTCCAGAGGCCAGGTCACAGTGACTCAGTCTGGAGCAGTGAGCTCTGCTCCGGGACGCTCCGTCTCCATCACATGTACGACCAGTCAGAAGGTTCATGGTGGGATATATTTAGCCTGGTACCAACAGAGAGATGGAGGAACTCCTAAACGGCTTATGCACACTACTAGCACTCGAGTATCAGGGATTTCAGAGCGTTTTACAGGCAGTGGATCAAACTCTGACTTCACTCTGACCATCAGTGGAGTCCAGACTGATGATGCAGCAGTTTACTACTGTCAGAGTTTCCATGTCATCAACAGTCAGTTTGTGTTCACACAGTGAAAAAGTGTCGTACAAAAACCTCCCTCAGTCAGACTGAACAGGAACTGAGCTGACTGCTGCAGCTGGAAGCTACACTTCACTGAACACACACACACACACACACACACACACACACACACACACACACACACACACACACAACACACACACACACACACACACACACACACACACACACACACACACACACACACACACACACACACACACACACACACACACACACACACACACACACACACACACACACACACAACACACACACACACACACACACACACACACACACAACACACACACACACACACACACACACACACACACACACACACACACACACACACACACACACACACACACACACACACAGTAAATCTAAATGTATAACAGCCACACTAAACTCATGGGTGCTCAGCTTCCTTTTGAACAGTGTTCACTTCTGTCTAACTGGAGTGACTCCCAAAGACCACAAGTCCCAACTTCAAATAAAAAATCCTTGTTTTGAAATAACTCTGTCCCCAACAGTAGCACAAACTAAAATAACTGGAGAAATGTTCAAGTCCACAGGAACTGTCAAACTCAAAAGGTCTTTTAAAAGCGTGTGAATAATCCAGTACACAGAGTAAGTACCTGGGACTGCACTTAGACAACGGACTGAAGTGGAAGATCAACACTGACGTTATGTACAAGAAGGGGAGGAGCCGACTCTATTTTCTGAGGAAGCTGAGATCCTTCCACGTGTGCAGCAAGATGTTGGAGATCTTCTACCAGTCTGTTGTGGCCAGTGCACTCTTCTTTGCTGCGGTCTGCGGGGGGGGGGGGGGGGGGGGCAGCATCAGAGCCGGTGACACCAGCAGACTCAATAAACTGATCAGGAAAGCTGGCTCTATCGTCGGTGTGAAACTGGACAGTTCTGAAGTTGTGGTGGAGAGCAGGACCCTTAACAAACGGTTGTCCATCTTGGATAACCCCGCCCACCCTCTCCACCTGCAGCTGGACAGGCAGGAGCTCCTTCTCCAACCGACTGTTCCGCTGTCACACAGAGAGGGAAAGGAAACCATTCCTGCCTTCTGCAGTAACACTTTTCAACGCCTCACCTCTGGCTGCAGAGAACTCACTGCTGCATAGTTGAGCTCTCCTTCCTGATAACAACTTGCAATTTTCTGAATATTTTAGTGGGAATGCTGATACAGCATTCCAACTATATGTTATGCTACGGACAAACGAGTTATTATTATTCCGTCCAATTATTTTGACCGTCTTCTCCTCCCACATTCAACATCGCAGAAACTCCGTTCGAACATCAAAACGTTCAGCTCGGTCGGGAATCGACTGCTATTACTTTTATCATTCATAACTTTCATACTTCCAGAGATACATCCCATAATTCATCACATTTTTAACATTGAAGTCAATGGAGATATTCTTCAGACTTCAACAAATCTTCATGCAACTTCAACTGCTAACTGTTCATTCATACTTTCACTCAGAAACCTCATTCCAACTTTAAAATGTTACACATCTTTCTGACATTATTCGTGTAACACCACTTTTAAATCTGATTCTTACTTTTAGAGATATTAAACATTGTTCAGACCTTGTTAAAGAGGTTTTCTTCAGATTTTAACATTAACTAGAGTGCGTGATGTCACAGCTAGAGTGTGGGAATTCTTGAAATTTGCCTTCATATTTTTTTTAAAACTGCCATAATTCCCAAACCCTACATTCTTGAGACATAATTTTTCATGACAAACGTAGGAAAACATCTCGTAGCTTGAAAAATGACAAATAATTAAGCAAAATGCCTCTTGAGGGCATGAAGTGACAAAAACGTTCAACATGTCTCCATTAAAGCCCATTGTATTTTCAGGCAGATATTTCCTCACAGCAGCAGCCGCACACCTTTAGTTAAACTGCCAAAAAGGCCACATTATTAACCCGAAAGTACACAAAAATTACACTTCAGATACTCAACTTCCTTGACATGCTTCACGTTTTGAAATTTCACAGATATCTTTTACGGTTCTTCGACAAAACGTTCACATGTAACAGGTTTATCTCTCATTCAGAACAATGGAAACCTTTGATCTCTGCACACCTCATTAGCTCAACTATAAACACCTGTGCAATGAACACGA